CCGTCCCATCCCGTCCCCCCAAAACCCGTCCCATCCCGTATATATAGTGGGACGGGACGGGACTTATTTTTGTCCCCCCAATCCCGGTCCCGGCCAAATCCCCCCAGCACCGTCCCCCGTCCCGTCCCGTCCCCCAGTCCCCGTCCCCGTCCCCTTGCCAGCCCTATCGGTGACAGATAGAAATAGATTGAAAGAGAATTTTTTTGACTCATGATTTAGTTATTATTATAATACATAGATACATTATTGGTAGTCCAAATTATGTAGGACAATGTGAGTAAACTTTCATGTTGGCTTGGCAAAATATACCGGCAAAGAATGCATCAAACACAAAAGCATATAGGATGAAGAAATGAAAATCACAGGTTGAAGGGGAAAACGGATCAAATCTTGAGATAGTTATACTCACAAAGTTAGGTACTCTTAGTCCATCGCCTGCAATTAGTAAAATTGAAATCAAACTTGGGCCCATCTAATAATATTTACATCACACTGATTCAAATTCAATCTTAAAAATACCGAAATATGACAATAAATAGAAGTAAACATAAAATAATAATTGGTTGTACAAAACTTTGCAAGAATTTAGAGAAAATAGACCTGTCCACCAAGGAAAAACACCAACAATAATAAAGAGAGATTACAACGAACTTAACAGTTACCTATGTCAAAAAAGAAAGATTACAACAAACTTCAAATTCTAATGCACATTTTTTGCCACTACAATATCAATGCTTAATGTAATCCAATCAATGTCAAGTAGCAGAGACTATTTCAGAAGTCATTAACTATAAAATCATCAAATTTCTTTTCCTTCTCAATTTCTGTGACGTCTACAGCAGAGCAACAAAGTTAATTTTTCTAGAAACTTCAATAAAATCTCTAGATGAAAGAATTATATCCTAAAACACTAAATAGAAAATTGTTTTTTCACTCACCTCTCTCTTTATGCATTTGAAAGAAAACACTTCAAACAACAACTTAACAATTTCTCCTATTACACGACTTTAGTCTAGCCTTTTTGGTGTTTAATTCTTCGCCTAAAATTAGATGTGTTTGTGTGTTAGTATAGAGATTAGATTAATTTTTGAATGGAAATCTTGAAGTTGTGGACTCCCTTAATGTGTATAGCTGAAAAGAGCAACAAAGCCTGCATTGAAACATCTAGAAGGGTTCGCTTATAGTTATTCAAGTACATATACTTCCCATCCCTAATCGTCCTAAAAATATATCAATCTGTTGTCACACCTATACAACCTAGATGTGTATAATATGTAGTACTAACTAATAAGCTAATTGTAATTTTTCTGAAATACTATACTATCAAGACTCACCATTAAGTAGTTTGAGATCATGCCGCATACAAAATGTTGTCCCATAATTTCTATCAATTTCATATGGTGGGCTCTTTACACTCCTATGTGATTCAAGCTCTAAAAATCATCCAGCTTTGCTACACAACCATAAAAAAAAAAAGTAAAAGAGAGTTAGAACAAGTAATTGTCCTGAATATTATTTAATCACCTCCATGGAATTACTACACTAAGGGGTCGTTTGGTTTGAATATGAGTTATGATGGGATAAGTTATGTTAGGACAAGTTATGTTGGGATTAGTTATGATGGGATAAGTTGTCCTGGGATTATTTCTTATTGAGTGTTTGGTTTGTTATATTCAAAATAATATATATTGATAAATTTTAAGAACAAGTTGTTTGTTTACAAAATTACCCTTCACTTTATTTAAACTTTTTAAATATTTCTTTGTGAGCTTTAGTTATTCATTTTTTTAAATAAAACTTTTATTTTATTTAACTTAAATATTTTTGTTTATGTATTCCCATGATAAGTACCATGTGTATTTAAAAATATAACTTTTTTCTTATTTAGCTTAAAAATAGAACTTCCCTCTTAAGTTTATTAAAGAGAAGAAAATTTATGAGAAATCAAAATAAAATAAACATAAGAATTAGTCAAATAAATTCATAAATAAAAATTATATTTATATAGTATAATTTTTTAATAGAAAAATATGTATAATTATCATAAAAATAAGGAGTAGTAAATATTATTATACATGGTATTAAAAAAAATGTAAATATACATAAATGTAAAAAATGATGTATAAAAAGGATTTAAAGGGACATATTTGTCATTTACCTATTTTATCTCGGGATAAGTTATCCCGGGATTACTATACCACCCATGGGGAGGGTTAACTTATCCCGGTACTAATTATTAATCCCGAGATAAGTTATCCCGGACTTGCCAACCAAACAACATAATTTTTTTTTTATCCCATCACTATTTCCTTATCCCATCACTATTATTTCTAATCCCTCACACCAAACGAGCCCTAAGGGGTTGTTTCATGGGATTAGTTATCCCGTGGGATAACTTATTTCATCATTTTAGTACAAATGATGGGATAAATAATCTCATAACTAACTAATACCCCTAATCATATGCAAAATAAAATGGTCTTGCATTTCATCTCAAAATATTAACCTTTATACCAAAGGACCTCTAAGTTCATCTAATATTAAACGCTCTCAAATTTATGCTTAGTTGCATTAGTGTAGCTTAGAAAGTAACTCGTTGAGCTCCCTTCAACTTTGCGCTTTTGTGGAGTAGGCACCATCAGAGATATTGACGATTTTCTAGACGTTCAAAAAATATTTCTTCTCAAATTGTGTTAAGTTAATAAACAAAACAACTGAGTTTGTTTTTATAGAAATTCCAATAAAACTTGTAGAATCAAGTTAAATCCTAGAGCTATAAAATGAAATTGGTCTTTTCCTTTACCTCTTTTAAGATTTTCTTGTCCTCATTCATCTACTAAATAGAGAAACTTTGTGTCTACCGGTAGGCATTTGAGACTCTAATGTTGGAACATAACAAGAAATTGGAACCTGGAAATTTGATTAACTATGATTTTATGAAGTCGAAATTGAAATTTACATACCGAATCAAAAATAATAATATCTTCGAAATCCACCATTGTTGAAGCTTGCGTCTTTAGACCAATTTGGAATTGTTGTGGGTGATATGCAACAACAATAATAAAAAATAACAAAATACTTCAGCTGATTTGAGTCTGCAAAAGTAGAAGTGGTCAAGTAAGTTGGGTTCATTCATGACAAATAAAACTCAAACAACTAAATAGATGAAGAACAATAGAGAAGAAAGAAGACAGTAAGAAGTAGAGTAGAGAAACAATTTGCACAAAGATTGAGAGAGAATCATACCTTAAATTCTAAAGAAAGTTCTTGAAACTCTGTAGAGAATTGAATGAATACTTCGACAGTTTTTTTTCTCACAATCATACTCCAGAAATTTTTGAAAAAAAGAAGAAGGAGATGCTTCTAGATTTTTTATAATAAAGGAGATCCGGAATGTAATAGGAAAAAAAAAGAAAGAAACAGATGCTTCTAGATTTTTATTTTTAACATTAAATCATTGATAAGTCAATTTACTCTTTTACCCTTGAATGTAGTCTAATTTTCAAAACTAACATTGGTCGTCCTCCACTTCATGTTTCTATATAATAGAAATATATGAATTATTTTCATAACGACAGATATATTAGCTTTAAATGACAAAATTATGGGATTCTTTTTCCTATTTTAAATACATTGCGAGTGGTTGATATGCTTTAAACAAAAACTCGAAAAGTAGTTAGTGGTGCCCTCCTTTTTTCCCCTTAATTGTTCCTTTACATATCACAACACCAATTGTTGTTATGCATCTTTATTGTTGAACCACTTTTGTGTCCAAAGTGTTGCTCAGTTAATGAAGTTTTTCTTATTCGCTATTCGCTATTCATATTACGATCTGATTAAATATGTATTTGTGTCGAAAGTTTCATATATATTAAGGATAAAACATTTCATGACAAAGATAATTATATTTTTAAAGTTCAAATTTGAGACATCTATTTAAATAAATATGAAGATGTACTTATCATTTCATTATAATCATCGTTGTCGGTATGGATGAATAAGTCTATTATGAACTCGACAGGACAACTTTCTCCAGTTTACACATTTTAGCTAAAGGAAGGACCAATGTTATGTTGGGACTTTTGAGGTTGTGTTTGAAGAGTACAAGATGAGGCACATGGTATGCCACTCATTACATGTTATATTCAATTAGCTGGCTGGATTATTTATTATGTGAATTTTATTTTAAACATAAAACTCATTCCATAGGTTTGATTATTAAGTAAATCAGAAATAAAATATTTTTTTTTCTTTTTAAATATTGAGTCAATAATTAATGGTTAATATGATAAATTTATAATGTGATCTATTATTGATGAGTTCTGATTTTGAACAACCTTATGATATTTGTCTAAATATATTTAACTTTTATTTAACTATATGTATAATTTTAAATACTTAATATAAGAAAAATATCTTATATTTAGATTATTTCTTAGAACTTATTATCCTCGATTGAAATATGAAGTAATATTACAAATTAAATATAATATATGGGTAACTAAAAAGTTTAACTGTTAATAATTTATAAAATTCTTAAAAGTTCACAAGCATATAAAGATCAAAAGTGTATATTAGAATTAGTTGAAGGTTATATACGCTTAATCATATATCACAACCAAGAACGGAGCCAGCATATTGTTAGGGGGTTCGGATGAACCCCTTCGGCGTAAAATATTACTATTTATATAAGGTTAAAATTATTTTTTATGTATATACAGTAGATGTCGAATCCCCTTCAACTAGTTCGTGTATTTACCTCTTCAGATTTTGAATCCTCTTATTGGAAATTCTGGCTCCGCCACTGATCACAATAACAAAAATAAGAATTGTTTATCAATATTTGAGAACCAAAAAGTGTCATTATCCCAAGTATAATTTTATATCTTTAGTTGAATTGTGAATCTCATTGTAACTTAACTATACTTTGTCGTAACCAGAAATGTAAGCAAAATATTTAATTTGAGAATTCACTAATTAGTAATGAGGTATAATTAAGTACATTTTTTATTAGTTGATTTATTTTTAGGGTCAAAAAGTTCAATTAATGTTCTATATTTAACTTAAATGCATTTAATTTTTTTTTTAAAATATTACTTGAAGCATTTGAACTCAATTCTCGAATTAAGCTATTGGTTATCTGTTAAATTATATTGTATCCTTCTATTTCAATTTATATAACATATATTTTTTTTATTCATCTAAAACAGAATTAACACATTTTCTTATTTAATAAATATTTAGGACACTATCAATATTTTATCGGATGAGGCACCTCTCCATTTCTCCAAATTTCTACTTGGATGGAAGCCACATGTCATAAAAGCTAAGATTTAATTACCTTAATGAAGGTTTTAATCATGACTAGAATAACAAATAATTATTTATTTTTAAAAAATTGCAAACCCACAATTCTAGCTAAATATTATCTCATAAATTCATTTTAAAAATTCACTATTTCCCATTTTATTACGAGATCTTCTTTCTACGAGGCATGTTTAAGGCCACAAGATTAAAGGGCAAATTTGTATATTTGACATAACTTTAATTTGGGACCACAAGATTCAAAAGTCTTCTTTATTGTGTTAAACTCCGTGTCAAATCAAACTATGTCACTTTTTTGAAACAGAGGGAGTACCACTGTTTTTTTCTCCATCCGGCATGTAGCAAGATGAAAGATAAATCAAATACTACTTTTAAATTAGTGTTGATAATACAATTAATTAATAAAATAATAATTTAAATTTTTGAATGAAATGATTATACTACCTCTGTCCCTAATTACTTGTCCACTTTTGAATTGACACACCTATTAAGAAAACAATGATTGACTTAATAAGTTTATCATTTTACCCCTGTTAGTTATGAAATGGATGAATTAAAAACTTAAGATTTTGAGAGAGAGTACATTTCAATATGGTCATTCTTGTTGAGATACAAGCCTAACTCATATCCCAAAAGCTAGCTCAAAGGAGGAAGATTGCTCAAGCCTTATAAGGAGTTCACTCATCTCATTAACCATCGATGTAGGACTTTTGTCATTCTTTAACACCCCACCTCACGCCCAGTGCTTAGCATTTGGTGCGTGGACAATTTTAATTTTGGGGGCCCCAACATCGGGTGAGACGGGCCTTGCTATGATACCATGTTAAATTAGATCTTAGTCCTAACTCACACTCCAAAAGCTAGCTTAAAGGGAGGAGGATTGCCCAAGCCTTATAAGGAGTCCACCCATCTCATTAATCACCGATGTGGGACTTTTGTCATTCTTTAACAACAACTTGTCAATTTGTTAGTTACAAAATGTGAAAGAGGAATTATACATGTATATATAGCGTAGTGATCATGTATTTACCCACTTTTCAATCTCAATACAAAGACTTCTTTTCTCTTAGTTTCTTCTCTCATTAATGTTCAAGCTTCCTCTATTTACGTTCAATTCTGAAATTGTTTCTCATCGCCACTAATGATATTAAAAAAGAAATTTTATCTAACTCATAAAAAAAGAATCAGGATCGCATGTGAAGGGTGTTGAGAATATAATTAACTAATAAAAATATAATTTTTCTAATAACTTAAGCTTTTAAATAAGATAATCACACACTTCAACCGTTTTTGCATTAACTAGCTGTCAATTAGCAGTAGGCAGTAGAAGCATGAAATTCAATAGTGCTAAGGAATATGATATTTTGTGCTTTTGTTTTTCATTAATTAGCTGTCAATTAGCAGTAAGAAGCATTTAATGAGGTTTCTTTTGGACAGGTGAGTGCTTCGTATTTTCATCAAATCTTCAACTACCAACTTTCTTATCTATTTACATGATGATAATTAATTAGTATTTTGACTTGTTGAACAACAATTCCGATTTAGCATATCTCAAATATTCTGCCTCTATATATAATCATAATTCATAACTACTCTCAATGGTCTCATAAGAAGATCAACTTGTTATTTCTTTATTTTATTTTATATATAACATTTCTTAATTATCACACGTCCAAATATAATTCTAGAAATAGAATATGGTTAGCTCAAGTTGGAACCCCTTCATATTTTCATATTTTTTTGGAATTCTCATTCTTTCCATTCCTTGTTTCTCTGAGAAAGGTAATTGTGATCTCTTCATGCTCTAATTTCCATAATAATTCTCTTTGCTTCCATTTTCTTTTGTCTTAAAGATATATTTGTACGTAATTACAATTTCTTTTTTTAAAATATATATATATATATATATATA